CTCGTATACAAGAAACTTACTTTTAAGAGAAAATCTAGAAGTCGAATAGAACTAGGAAGAAAGACTACTGCTGTTGCTTCAACCTACTGCTGAATAACTGCGACGGACTGAGGTGTTCTCCGTTTTGTACCATGCGTCCCCTCTCTGAGAACTCGAGCCGCCGTAATTTCCCTCTCTTTTCGCTTTATCCCCACTTGAGTAATTTCTCATATGATTCCATTGCTCATACTCCTCCGACTACAGTCACCATGTCTGCCGTTGTCTCCCACTCCACCGTTGTCCCCACTCTCTCCATATTCTATCCTTAGTATTTTCCTAACTAAGCCTTCTTCCTCCCCACTATTACTACTCTATTCTGTGCGACTTTTATCGGAGGTTGGAGGAAGCTTTCTTGAGGATTTTCTTCCATTTCTATGATCTTTCTTTTCCTTCGTTGTTCCGCACTCTTAATTTTAAGCTTTGACGTTTCAATAGTTTTGTAATGACCCCATGGAAGTGTATCAGGATTTTTATCGAATATACATCGTTTATCATCATATGGACTTAGTGCTACTTTCTGCACTCTTTCTGTTCTTACTTGGTGCAATACACTTCGTATATTGCATTGCTTACGTCTAATAATTTCTAAATCCAATAAACAGTTTCGAAAATCTTCATGATCTATTGTTTTTATGACAGTATGTGTTTTTACGCTTTTTGCTTTCTTTATTAATTGATGGTTTTCTATTAGTATACTATACATTTTACTTCGAAGTCCAATGAATTCTCTCATAATATTACCATTGCATTCATCTTTCATAATACCGAGAACTTTTTTAATAACTAATGGCATATTAAACTGATTATTTTCTCAGTAATCTGATGTATCAAATTTATTGATATCTTCTTTCATTATTTCATATATATAAACATCTTGAAATTCATATACGAGGCTATCTGTATCAGTATAAAGTAATTTTGCTTTATGAGGTAGTCTTTCTTTTATGTAGTCATAGTGAAAGTCATATACACGTACTAATGTTTTTGAGAGATCTAGCACACAAAGTCCAATATACAGGGTGTGCCATTTTAACTTTCGGATGAAAATTTCATGGGTATCGGAAAAAATGTTTCAGATGAATGTTTCTCAACTTTGAGGGAGCCATATTATGGTGACCTTTTCGTGACCTTGAAGGCCATTTTTAAGGTCATTTCAAGGTTAAATTCATTTTTTTAAATGGCAATCCCTATTTTTGACACCGGATTCGGAAATAGCGGGAAATTTTACGTCTAAAATGGTATTTTTAAATTTTTTTCATGACCTTGAGAAGGTCGATTTAAGGTCAATTACTTGATAAACTGGCTACGGGTGATTTTTTTTTAATATTTAAGATATCGGAAAATGACCCCTACAAAATTTGTACACAACAGAGTCGGGCCCCTATGGGTATCAACAACTTTGACCTTGAACTTTATTTACAAGGTTATTTCAAGGTTAAAGCGTTTTTTTAATGGGGACCCCAATTTTTGACATTGAATTTGAAAAAAGCGAAAAGTTTTAAATGTAAACTCCCATTTTAAACTTTTTACAATTATCTTTAGAAGATCAAATCAAGGGTAAATACTGAAAATTCGCAAAAAATCGTTTACTTTAAGCTTTTAAAGTTTATGAACGAGTAAATATTAAGATGAACTCGTGAACCAATGACCTTGAGTATTTTGCTCTTGAATGCAGTTTTCAAGATTATTTTAAGATCAAAGTAATATTTTTTATGGCAACGCCTATCTCTGACACCGGATTACCGCGATTGGAAACAATAATAATTTTTAGGCTCTAAATAACTAAATTATTATTTTTAAATTGTAACAAAATAACGTAAAATTGAACATGAAATAATTGTCAAAAAATAATGATCTATGGCTATTAATTAATATTACTAAACTAATATTTTAAAATTATAAATTTGACTCGAGTGTAGTTCAATGTGTTTATGACGGTACGTGTTATTTTCACTGTCAGTGCTTTTCGTTAATAATAATTTTTACTCAATCAACTGTCAAGAATTGAGTTGGCATCCCTTATTAGAAAATTTGCTATGACTAGTATTGTTATGTGCGCTTCATGCAATCTTTCTTAGGAAGCATGATTCTTTCGGCGTGTCTTAGTTTCTACGATACTATTTTGTTTCTCATTATTAAAATAATATGACTTCCGCAAGTTTTTGAATTTGCGATATTTTGAAAAAATATGGCAAATTATTCAGCAAATGAATGCGTTGAAATACTACTGATTCTTGGAGAATGCCGTCGTTATTATACTGCATATACAGAGACGTAGACAAAGAAATTTAAATAGTAATGATGGAAGACTTATTACCGTATTGGCCATGGTTCATTTAAACCCTCATATAAGTACAAGAACAATTGAACGTCAAATCGGAATTCCTCATTCTACAGCTCATCGTATGTTAAGATCAGTGCGTTACCACCCATATCATATTACACTGCATTAGGAGTTGAATGAAAATGACTATTTACTCAGAATGGATTTCTGTAGATGGGCGCTTAATCAGCTAAATGAGGATTCAGATTTTTTTTGGAATATTTGTTTTGGTGATGAGGCTACCTTTAAAAGTGATGGTACCCTTAATAGACATAATTCTCACTACTGGTCTCCTGTTAATCCTCATTGGCATCGAGAAGTAATTAATCAACATCGCTGGAACGTTAATGTTTGGGTCGGAATCTGTAATGGACAGATCGTTTGCCTGCATTTTTTTAATGGCACTGTCAACGCTAATAGATATATCGACTTTCTGGAAAATGATCTACCTGGATATTTGGAAAACATTCCGCTGAATGTTCGACAGCAAATGTGGTGACTACAAGATGGTGCTCCAGCTCATTTTGAAAGAAACGTAAGAGCATTTATAAATAATTGATTCCCAAATCGTTGGATAGGTCGTGCTGCCAGTTCCTTGGCCATCAAGGTCACCGAACCTTAATCCATTAGATAGTTATTTCTAGGGATATTGTAAAAATGTGGTTTACGAAGACGTGCCTACGACTAGATTAGATATGATCGCGAGGATCAGAAGAGCTTGTGCAGCAGTCACTCCCAAAATACTTAAAAATGTTATGAATAATTATCGACACAGACTGGAAATTTGCTTGGCGAACAATGGAGGATCATTTGAGCATCTTATGTAATTAAATTTTTCAAATATTATTAGTTCATTTAATTCTAATTAATAGTTTTTTTGTCGATTTGGAAAATATTGTTTAGTTAAATAATTATCATTATTCGTTAAATGAAATCGTTATCGTAATTTGAAGTTTTTTAAAAAACTAAAATTACTGTAAATTTAATAAAGTTACCTTATTCTAAAATCTCTATCAACATTTATTTTTTTCTACCCATCCAACTTTTCCAATTACGAAATCAGAAATTAAAAAGATCGTTTTATGCAATAAGAACCTAAGTGATAGTATTATGATTTGAAAAATTTTCACGCAAATAAAATAACCCAATAATTTACCTTAAAAGGTTAAATCGTCCCACAGTAAAATTTATAATTTTATAATATTAGTTTACTAATATTAAAAGACCTTGGTCTTTAAATGACCTTGAAGATGAATTTCAAGGTCAAAGTTGTTGATACACTCAGGGGCCCGACTCGGTTGTGTACAAATTTTGTAGGGGACATTTTCCGATATCTTAAATATTAAAAAAAAACCACCCAATAGCTAGTTTATCACGTAATTGACCTTAAATCGACCTTCTCAAGGTCATGAAAAAAATTTTGAAATACCGTTTTGAAAAACGGATTTAATGAATAAAATGAATTTAACCTTGAAATGACGTTAAAAATGGCCTTCAAGATCACGAAAAGGTCACCATAATATGGCCCCCTCAAAGTTGAGAAACATTCATCTGAAACATTTTTTCCGATACCCATGAAATCTCCGAGTAATCTTCATCCGAAAGTTAAAATGGGACACCCTGTATATTGGTTTTTTAATACTAACTCGAACCAGTCAGCGGGCTTCGCGCGCCTTTATTTTCATTGCTAATTAAGATTAGTATTATTGCTATGAGTATTTTGTTTAAAATTCATTAAATTATTATATAGATATGTGCATGCGTAAAGCTAGACAATAAGCTTTTCACGATTAGAGCTCTTTGAAAACATGATTTTTGACTTTATAATTATTCCGTTGTTGATTTCCAAGGTCAATTTTAAGTATATCCCATGAGCGTACTCTCGACTGTAACGGTGCGGTTAATTTTTTGAATAGTTCGTGTTTATGCGAAATTCGCGAATAAACCTACCGTAAACAATCGAGACTTTCGTCTCGTTTCTCGCGAGTTCGCGAGACGTTGCAGACCTTGCACTGGTCTACTGTGCAGCGGCTAGCGCAGTTTTAAAACACGGGCTTACTCGTGTTTGCGGAGGCGGCAGGGTCCTTAATTTTGCGAGGAAGGTGTCAGCAAATAAGTGGGAGAGCCAAATGGTATTTTCAATAACGAAACAATAGACGTTTATTCATTAAATAAAAAGAATTAGAATAGAGAAAATTACAAATGAATGCTCCTCGACGAGCAATATTCGAAAGGGAGAAAACGTTGGAACGTGAGAGAGAGAGTTGCTATATGATAAGAGCTGGCACTTACGAATATGCGCGTACGCTCGCAGATTTTCCAAAATGGATCGGCCGTCACACACGCACGACGCACGCTCTCGCTAACCACCTCCGGTTCGTTCTCCAACACAGTATTTTTCGAGGTAATCGTATTCCTTGTTTCGCGATCTTCCTGAAAACGTCCGAGCTCGCCGCCAGCGTATCTCTTCTGCTCTCCCATCTCATCCCCGCCCAGCTCTCTCTCTCTCCAGCTTACCCTCTCTCTCATCTTGTTTACGTCTTCTCTCTCTCTCTTACAGTTGCGTAACTGTAAACAAGCTATACATATTACAAACTTCTATCGAATATTATATTATAGCTGGTGAGAGTATGACGATTTAAATTTCTTCGTCATACGACATTGCTACGTACAATTGACCATGATTAAAAACATCCCTACGAAGAACAATAGCAATATTTTCAAACGTTTGACCTTGAGCTTTATTGATTTTCATCGCAAACGCTAACTTAACTGAAAATTGGCGTCTTTTGAAAGTAAATGGATACTCATTTATACAAAATAATGAAATACGATTCAAGAATACAATATTATTTGATTTGTCTCCCGCCAGAACTTCGCATTTCAACAAATGTTTAGAAAAATCTAACACCCTTAAACGTGTACCATTGCATAAACCTTCATGAATACTTATATTTCTAATTAACATTACAATACAATTTTTTCTTAATCGTAATTCATGTGGAGGCAAACTGGAAGGATTCAATGAGTTTAAGTATTCTGGCAAAAGTACTTCGTCAAATTCACCATTGTCACAATTTTCGGTGCTATCAATGCCGGTATAAATATGTTCAGTAGATCTATCTAACAAATCAATAACTGATTTATTTAATTCATCTACGTCAATATTTCGGGCGGACAAAATAGCACATTTACTCATTATATCGAATTTCTTGTCTATGATCAATTGTTGAAACACAGTACGAACTATATCATTATTTTTAAGAATACAATGTTCAGGTAAAAATAAATTGTCGCGTTGGTCATTCAGAGTTCCATCACCAACTAATAATAAAAATTTAGCGAAATCAATTTCATGAGGTAAGACTCTCATATTTGTGGTAAGATTATATTTAATAAAATACCGTCATAATGCACTGTATTTAATAGAAAGGTTTAACGTTTCAGCTCGTGTTCCATTAATTTTGATGGGAAGAAGTTGTCTAAAATCACCGCCCAAAATCATAATTTTACCACCGAAAGGTACGTCATTGTTCATGATATTTTGTAGAGTTCTGTTTACTATTTCTAGAGCATATCTTGGAGTCATAAGTGCTTCGTCCCAAATAAAAACTTTTGTTTCCATGAGTAGAAGACCTTCCTTAGATTGTGCTGTTATGTTTGATGATGAATCGCTAAACATTGGAACAGGAAGACTAAATGTTTTATGTACTGTTTTTCCTTTTGGAAGTAATGTTGCTGCAATACCAGTGAAAGCCATTGAAGATACTTTAATATTTTGTGAACATAATAAATTGTAAATAGTAGTATAAATAAAAGTTTTTCCGGATTCTCCTGGGCCATTGATATATATACAATTAGTATCGTGATTATTAGTATCAATAGCTTAATCCAAAACAATATCAACAATTTTTTTTGCTGTTCATTCAACAGCTCATATTGTTTTTTACCGATATCTTCAAATTCTGTTTGTGATAATTCATTATCGTTTTCTGTCAATACATGTGTAGTCACTGTTTGATCCATGGAAGGAAAATCAGACAAACTTTTACCTTCATAATTTAGTAAATTATTTATCTCAGCGTATGCCATTTGATGACTCAAAACACTATTATTCATCCTTGCAAATTCCTCAGATAATACATCTTTGAATTTATCCCACAACTCTTCAGGGTGTATCGGTTGGCAGTGTATTAAAATTCTAGTAAATAATTGTCTAAGTCGACGTGGCATCATCCACATTGTTGCTTCTTCCATTGCTTTAGCCCATTCATGATCATCCTCTATTAAGCCCAGTTCTAAGCACGCTGCTGTAAATGTAGGTTGGACTATGCCATTAACTGTTTTTAATGAATCAAAGCTTGTAGCTCCTTTTACGTGCAACAATAATAATAGCAAGTGAAATAGCTCTACTTGTGTAGGACTGACAGAAAACATTCGTCCAATACAGTTAAACTGTTTTTTACGTGGAACCCATTTAGATGTCATGATCCCATTAATTTTTATTTTTTTATGAGTAAAAAAAGATGGAACATCGCTATAGAAGTACTGGCGTGCATTTTCATTTTCAATGTTTATTTGGAAAAAATCAAGTAACTTACTACTTGCTTGATTCAGATTTTCTACAAAGTTGTCTTCATTAAAAATTATAACACTCTGTTGATTTGGTAAATGAACTAGTAATCTTTCTACAATGTGACTTTTACCTTATAATGATTTACTCAAAATTCGATAACATGCTTCAACGGGTCCAACATTGTTGATAATTTTAGATGAATTTTCAGCTCCAATAGTTACAGTAGCTGTGTCATGACCTTTATAAATATATTTATATAAATACTTGACAGCTCGAATACTTGAAACAATTTCCACATTTATATGACAGTTAAACTTTAATAATTATGGCAATGCGGTACAATCCATCGATTATCAATGACGTAACCATTAGGTAGTTCATGAGTAACACCGTCATTTTTCCTTTGGTAATGATGATATCCGTTTTCATCCATTGTTGTTTCATTTTGAAAATCTTTTGGAAATTTCTTTGAACACTTGTTATCTGTAATACACCAGTCACTACAAGGTCTATGAGTCACGTTTTTTACAAAGATGTCATATAAAATAGGATCACGTTCTTTATCGGGAAGTTTATCTGATATAAAAATTTCAAATAAATGTTAATAATTTCAGGTGTGGTTATTTTATAAGAATGTTTTAAAATTAACAATAAATGTATATGTGGTAGTCCACGCTTTTGAAATTTAACAACATAGACATAGGATGCTACTTCTCCAAAAAATCTATCCTTTATGATTACATCAAGCAAACGATTCTTTTTCAAATGAAATACGCGAGCTACAATATCAGGTCTATCAGATGCCTGCTGACCTGGTAAAAGATTTTCTTGTATCTCTTTCCATCTAGGATTGCAAGTCATTGTAAGAAAAATGTCCGGTTTACCCGTTTTACCGACTATAGCCATTGCATCTTGGTAATTTTGTTGCATGTGGCGAGGGGATCCTATAAAAGTCGAAGTTAAAATGATAGTTTTACCGACTTGACCATTAATGTCATTAGCAGAATTCTGCAAATAATCGTGTAGTTCTTTGTACGTATCTGCCTTTATCTGTCTTTGATTATCTTTGCACCACTGAATTCTGTCTTTTTCAATTTTAACATAAGCATCTACTACCCACTGTTGAAATAATCGACGACCTAACAAAATAGCGTTAAATTCATCTGGCCTTACGGCCATTTTAAATTTAGTGTAGGACATTCGTGTTACTCGAATACTTGGATCATTATCATTCATCTTAATACGTTCTAAGTTTTTATGCCATCCTCGTGATCCATAAGGGTAAAATAATGGATAAAGCCATGGTTCAACGTTAGGATCCATCGTACAAACGTATTGTAACACTTTTGTATTTTTGTTTCGAATAATTACATAAGACTCTGGAATTTCACCATCAGCTGTTGTCGAAAAAATAGTAGCAACTTCATTTGTTCGCTGAAAATTAAATCTCCGTCTATCAAAACCTGGTTTCAACGAAAATAATAACTGTAATTCAGGTTCATGTGCCTCATTCATCTCTAACCTGTGATTATTTATTTCTTGTTTCATCATCTCATAAGACTGTGCAAAAATATTATTCTCTCTTATTACTTTATCTAACATTGAAAGTGTTTCTTGATCAAGATGAGGATTTTGAGTTTTTTTAACATCAAGGGCTTCTTCTTGATCAACAAAAAACAATTGTCCATATGCAGGATTTTCATTTTCACAAGGATACAAACCTGTATTAATTTAATAGTATATCTGACCATGAATTTTGAAACAATATGGTCCAGGGCGGCGTGATTGAAAATTAACAAAATTAGCATTAAAAGAGGCGAATGAAAGTGAATTATTATAAAAACGAATATGTTCAAAAAATTATTTGATTTATAATGACTTCTATCAAATAAAGTGGACAGTTGTGGAGGAAAATTTGGTGTACTTTCTAAAGCTACAGCCCCATGAGAAAAACAATCATTAAAAGAAAAACCTTTATTTGCAACCTTCTCTGATGCAAAATGTTTTGCATTGCAATGTGCACATAATATATCCATTTTTCCTAAGTAATCTTCTACTACAGCATTTACTTGCTGATTATTTAATTTACACCATTGTCACTACATACAACTTGTTCATTATTTAGATCATTATGATGATTTGTAGCGTTACGTCTATTTCTCGCATTTTCAGAACGTCTTAAACGCTTTTGAATTTGATAATTTTGTTCCTCTTCTGTAGTACGTATTATTTTCTTCTACCCATTTTTTGTTTCAATGAAAAAAAACAAAAAAGAATTACTTGTATGATTATATGAAATAAATAATTATACTAATAAATAACTTATTAATTGAGAATTGAGACGTGATAAATAAAAAAATTGTTTTGACCTATTAATTACTTTCTAGTTATTTATTTTTGGAAAAAGCAACACAAAATTTTGTATAGTACAGAACAACTGTCTAATACATGGTTCCAAATTCAAATAAAGTTGTATCTATATATCTTATTTTCATGTATATAAAAAGTTCATATTATGCTCATGCGTAATGATAATGAAAAAAAAAATAAAATGCTGGACTGAGTGTATACAATGAACGTTATTAATACTTTAATGTTTTTTACATAAATATATACAATACGGTATTTAAAATGTTGAATTTATAAATAACTACTGGATTTGATTTTTTCAATTGTGTAATTTTTTGTGAATTTTTGCTAGATTGAATTTTTAGCAAAGACAAAAATTTGGTTTGGTTTCAAAGTTTCGGTTTGGTTTGGTTTCAAATGTTCGGTTTGGTTTAAAATATTTCGTTTGGTTTGGTTATGTATATGTTGATGGCAATAGTCACAAGCAAGGTTTTAACGCTGAATTTTATACGTTTTCAATATCTATGTAAAATCAATTCAACAGCGATGATACCACGGCAACCTGGAAAAAATGAACATGGAATATTAAAAAATGTATATAGAATCAGAGAAATTTGAAAATATGATTAGATTATATGATTAGATTATTAGATTTAAAAGTTTATTATGTCAAATGAAGACATAATCATCATATCATATATTTTTGGAAAACGTTAACTGTCAACGTTATTTATAAGCAATTGCTAAAGCATGTCACTAGATAGAAAGTATAAAGCATGCAGTAAGTAGTAAAAAGTATCCCTTCGAAGGAGAGTATCAATTTACACAATGATCGACTCAATCCAGATACAAATAACTAGACAGCTTTGAAATTTTATCATCCAGTGTATCTCTAATATACAAGGTGTGTTCAAAAAATATCCGGAATTTTTAAATTTCGCGGGTCTGGAGAGTCCGATTGTCAAAATTTTTTTTTATTGTGTTGGTATACATACCTCTGAAGTATGATAAAATTTTCAGCTATATTCACTGTTTACTTTGTCTGCGGTAGTCGCTAAGGTTTGACGTGTTTTTATGAGCTCGGCGATTTTCGTTTTTTAAAAGAAATGGATCAAAGAATTTGTATTAAATTTTGCGTAAAAAATGAAATAAAGTGTAACAAAGTGTGGAAAATGTGACAAAAAGCCTATGGTGAGTCTGCTATGAAAAAAACAAATGTTTACGAGTGGTATAAGCGTTTCCAAGATGGCCGCGAAGACGTTGAAGATGACGAACGCTCCGGTCGACCCAGCACGTCAACAATCGATGAAAATGTGAAAAAAGTGGAAAAAACGGTTCTGCATGATCGCCGAATCACAATTAAAGAAGTTGCTGATGAAGTTGGCATATCAATTGGCTCATGTCATAACATTTTTTCAAATGTTTTGGGCATGAAACGGGTGGCAGCAAAATTTATTCCCAAACTGCTGAACTTTGACCAAAAAAACAATCGCATGAACATCGCTCAGGAGCTGTTAAACGACGTCAACGACGATCCAAGTTTGCTTGAAAGGGTCATAACTGGTGATGAAACATGGGTGTACGGTTATGATGTTGAAACCAAAGCACAACCGTCCACCTGGAAGCATTCAACGTCACCAAGAGCGAAAAAAGCACGTCAAGTTCGATCAAATGTGAAGGTTTTGCTTACAGTTTTCTTTGACTGCAGGGCGTGGTGCATCATGAGTTCTTATCACTACTTATCGTACGGTTAATAAGGAGTATTACCTTGAAGTTATGCGACATTTGCGTGAAGGAATCCGAAAAAAACGCCCCGATTTATGGAAAAACAATTCATGGCTTTTGCATCACGATAACGTACATGGAGGTCGTGCCCCAACCTCCATGTTCACCAGATATGGCTCCGTGTCACTTTTTCCTGTTCCCAAAGTTGATGAGACCCATGAAAGGACGGCGTTTTTCCTCGATTGAAGAAATAAAGGCCGAATCGTTGAGAGTGCTCAAGGACATACCAAAAAGTGAATATCAAGAGTGCTTCGAAGATTGGAAAAAACGCTGGCATAAGTGTATTATATCTGGGGGGGGATTACTTTGAAGGGGATCACATTGATGTAAACAAATAAATAAATATTTTTTTGGAAAAACGATAATTCCGGGCACTTTTTGAACACACCTCGTAGCATTTGTTTAATAGTGGAACCCTGTAAATTATAAATGCACTGACATTTTGCAGTAACAACATAAACAAAAAATAAGTTGTACCTGTATACATACATTTCAGTAAAAAATGACGAAATTAACGATTGAAATATAACAAATGTTACATATCAGTATTTCTACAAATAATAGGAGGACTAATATACGAGTATAATGTCATCCAATTTTGATGATTGTCACGGCAAGTTTTACACGCTGCGGTAGCGATGGTCGAGTTATAAGGCGCGTGTGGGTACTTGCAGAAATCTAGGCGTCGAAGTCGGCAGTTATATAATAATACTTTTTATTATAAAGTGATAGAGCTCCAGAGAGATGTCTTTACAAGGCGAGATCGTGTACAGGACTG